TCGGCTTTCCTGCTCCTCTGATGCTGCTTGACCTGCTGTGTTCATCCAGCTCTACACCTTGTTATCTCAGATTCTCCAGCATCTGCAGTTCCTACTATCTCTGATTCTGGAATGGTTATTTGCATGTTAAAAAATTACCTAAAAAGTACAAATGGAAAATATTTCTAGTATCCAGGTACACACATTCATTTTTGTGTAGTTCAGTGCTTTATTATTTGTAATAATCTTGAGGCATCATAAGTCATCACCTTAGTCCTCTGGGAGCGTATGGGCAGATAAAGCTAAAAAAGAATCAGTGTAATCTGCACTACTGTTAGTCAATCATGGATGGTCTCACAGCAGAACAGACTGCACAAACAACTCTCTCAGCTTTTGTTTGGTTTAACTCCAAGAAAGATGACTGGGTTACCACACAATACTGTGCTGGCACAAATCAAACAACAAGCCTTTGTGCTCTCTGTGCTTTGCTGCCACTGACTTTTTTCCATACACCACCACACATCAACAGTAGTTACAGTCAAACATGGGTAAATTATAGCTATGTCAAAAATGTATTTTCTCACAAGGAAATCAATTTTCCAAGAAAGACAGGAAAAATAGGACCTTTGAAGCCTGGCATTTCAAGTTTCTTCTTTGATCCTTGATTCAGTCATCTCTCCAATTAGCATTCTGTGTGAGTTAATTAACTGAAGTTACAGTAAAGAAACTTGTGCACCTTACATTGGTCACCAAAGTGAAATAGGGTTATATTAGTTTTACCCTCATTGAAAATTGACCTTACACAATCAAGGTCATGTCTTTTTAAGGTGATTTATTTTCAAAGGAAGTGAAGGAGAGACATACAAATAAATAGTCCTTAATGAAACACCTCTACAAAGCAACTTAAGTGAGCATATTTTAGATGTAGAAGTTGGTTATAATTAATGAATAGTATACATTACACTTGGGTATTAAATACCGGCTTAAATATCAGAAAGAACTAAATTCCTCTCAACATTGGCTCAATGGCAGCTGGAGAAAGATACCTATGACGGAAGGCAGTTGTGTTTGAAATTTAAGCGATCAAATTTCCAAAAATCAGACGTAATATTTTGAAAGAAAGTACAAGGGTGGTAAATGAAAATGCTTTACAGCCCTACTGTAGCCAAATCATCCTCCATGTACATCATGAATTTAAAAATAGATTCTCAAGTCTGTCAATACTCAATAATTGTAGTTATTAAAATAGTGGTCAATAGTTTTCTCAGACAGCTTGAATGCAATGGTCAAAATCCCATCTCTGAATTACAACGTTGTGAATTCGAGCCCCATTCTAAGAGACTTAAACACATCAGTTGTAAAGTTATACAGGTCTGGTGACATGGTCTACAGTGAGATTTGAGGTCAATCTTGACATTGGGACCATAAGACCATAAGATGTAGGAGCAGAAATTAGGCATTTCAGCCCCTCGAATCTGCTCCGCCATTCAATCCTGGCTGATATGTTACTCAACCCCATTGTCCCGCTTTCTCCCCATAACCCTTGATTCTCTTGACAATCAAGAACCTATCTATCTCAATCTTAAATATAGTCAATGACCTGGCCTCCACAGCCTTCTGTGGCAGTGAATTCCATAGATTCACCACTCTCTGGCTGAAGAAGTTTTTCCTCATCTCTGTTCTAAAATGTCTTCCCTTTACTCTAAGGCTGTGCCCTCAGGTCCTAGTCTCTCCTACCAATGGAAGCATCCTCCCAACATCCACTCTGTCCAGGCCATTCAGTACTCTAAGTTTCAATTAGATCCTCCCTCATCCTTCTTAACTCCAATGAGCATAGTCCCAGAGTTCTCAAACATTACTCATATGTTAAGCTTCTCATTCCTGGGACCATTCTCATGAACCTCCTCTGAACCTGCTCCAGGGCCAAAACATCCTTATTGAGATATGGGGCCCAAAACTGCACACAATACTCCAGATGTGGCCTGACCAGGGCCTTATAAAGCATCAGTCATACATCCCTGCTTTTATATTCCAGTCGTCTCAAAATAAATGCCAACATTGCATTTGCCTTCTTGACTACTGACTCAACCTGTAAGTTTACCTTGACAGAATCCTGGACTAGAACTCCTAAGTCTCTTTGCACTTCAGACTTCTGAATTTTCTCCCCATTTAGAAAATAGTCCATACTTTTATTCTTCTTACCAAAGTGCATGGCCTCACACTTTCCCACGTTGTACCCCATCTGCCTCTTCTTTGCCCACTCTCCTAATCTGTCCAAATCCTTCTGCAGCCTGCCCACCTCCTCAATATTACCTGTCCCTCCACCTATCTTTGTATCATCTGCAAACTTAGCCAGAATGTCCACAGTTCCTTCATCTAGATCATTCATGTATAAAGTGAAAAGTTGTGGTCCCAACACTGACCCTTGCAGACCATCTTGCTCCATTGTTTATACTTTTGACAAGCAGTGAGGCAAGTTTCCTGCTAGGCAGTGGCAAGTTGCCAATTTACGTGGACCATTGCTTGTTAAATGCCTTTTAATTGGACCGACTTGCTTCATTAATATGTAACTTTCTATCTCACCAAACACACAGAACAGGTTAAATGACAACAAAACGCAGCATGGAAATCAGAGCAGGTACCTGGCAGATTTAGTTTACCATTTGCTCCAAAGGGCCTCCATATTGTGTACAGCCAAACTGCATTTAATACGATCCAAAGGCACCAGCTGCACACACCCTTATGGTCATGGGAATCCAACACAGACCTGCATTGCAGGGCACACTGACAATGTGCACTGAAAGGCTGCTGCAAGGACACTTTGCTTGCAGGGACAGGTCCCCAGCTCATTGATTGGACCAGGCTGCATGTCAGGACTACTCACTTGCTCTCTTAGCAAATCACACACTTAACATCTTGCCATGCCATGGCAGTTAGCATGTTGGTCCTTCAGTCAAAGCTAAAGGCAATCAGTATTGCTGTATTGACGTACTGTTTCGCACAGTCACAAAGACAGCTACAGGAGGATATTGCCAGAGTCATCCCAAAAAATACTTTTCGTAAAGAAATCTGCAAAATCTCCAAACTACCTGATTTTCAACACCAATTAATAGAAAGCACAGACCAGTAATTTGTAATTAACAAGAAATCACTACCTGTAACAGGTCAATGGATTCCAGCTGCAGGTAAACAATTAAGTTAAAGTAAGTAAACTCTACAAATAAAAACTCTAAACTTTTTAAATAAAAACACATGGGTAGAGGGAAAGCTGGGAAAACAGTTTTGTAGTCTTTATTCATAAAACCTGGTGGGTTTGTTTTTGCTTATTTGAAGGCTTCTTCTTGACATTCCTTTTATTGAATGTTTCCACTAATTTGCAAGAGATGCAGGGTGGCTAAGTCACTTGTAAAAGGCTCTACTCATCCAGTTCAAAGTCACAACTTGCAGCATCTGCTAAAGGAAAGGTAATTTGGTTTTCTTCAAATTGAAAGTGGCCTACTGCAGAAAATTGAGAGAGACTTTGTGGTTGATGCAGATTTGCTGGTTGCTGTTCTAGTCAGACTAGTTTCTTTCTGTCTTGTTCACAGTCTGACCTGTTCAGCTCCCTGACAACCAATCGCATAGTTGTTGGTAGGTATAGAACCTTTGTCATTGATAATTAGTCCTTAGTCCACAAACTAAACAGCTTCACTTGTAAATAACCCTTTGGGTCCAGATCATCTGCGCATTGCTGGAACCCACAAGATTTTTGGGCATATCTGCTGAATGATGAGCTGTTCTGGGAACAGTGGATGGTAAGATAGGGCCAGAATTGGATGTGACAGATGCAGCAGGGGTGAGGTATGCAGTTAATGTGGTGAATTTGCTAAGATATGGTGAGAAATATTTCTTGGCTTCATGGCAGAAATCCCTTCAAAAATCTCATTGCAACTCAGACTCAGCTAAAAGAATGTAAGGGTCAGCCCAGTACCATTGGTTGACACTTTGTGTGGACTTGTGAGAGTGCTATACTATCAAAGTAACAGTCTGTTTAAGATGACCTAATTTCAAATGAAATGAAGCAGAGAGGTGTAGATATAGATAAGCTTTACTGAAACATCTCTATAAAGCAATCTAAATAGAATATATTTTAGATTTAGAGGTTGATTAGGAAAATTAGATGATGTACATCACTCTTGGGAGTTAATTACTGGTTTATGGTATCGAAATCATTTCAACTTCAGCCCAGTATCAGAGCTATTATCTTTCAAATGAGACACTGAAGTAACACTTTGTCTTCATCACTTCTAATGCATCTGCTGCCCTCAAGATAGTAAAGGTCATGGGTGAGGCACCCTCAAAGCATGGACTTTCTGCCTGCTCAAAGTATCTGTCCATGCTGTTTGGCATGCGACTATATTGACTTCTGGTTTCTGGAGCTTCTGCTGTGGAGGTCGGCAGAGTGGTGGGAAAAATTAAAGGGACTATCAGTACAGGTTTGGAAGGTGCAGTTCAAGGAGACCTGGTAGTGCATGGTACACACTGTTGTCACCGTTCTGCAGTGTTTTTTCAATTCAGTCATGGAATGTGGACATCGCTGTCTAGGCCAGCATTTATTGCCCAATCTTGCCCTTGACAAAGTGGTGTTGAGCTGCTTTTTGAGCTGATGCAGACCTTGGGGCAAAGGTACACCCACAGAGCTGTTAGGCAGGGAGTTCTAAGATTCTGACCCAGCAACAATAGACAAACAATGGTATAGTTCCAAGTTAGGAGAATTTAGAGAGCTGTTTGTCAATGATGGCATCTTTGGCAATCAGTCAGTAAGCAACTCCCTGCAGAATCCCCAGCCTCTGACTTGCTGTTGAAGTATCAGTGTATATATATACATTGCTGGTCCAGTTAAGCTTTGATCAATTGTGACCGACATGAAGTTGGTGGTGCGGTACAGTGATGGTAATAAAGTCAAGGAAGATGATTAGATTCTCTCTTGTTGGAGATAATCATTGCCTGGCACTTCTACAGGGTGGGTGAATATTACAAAGATTGACTAAGACCGTTAAATTGTTGTGTGAAATATTGTTAGTATTTTTGTGGTATAACAAAGTTTGTACTTCAAAATATGACACCATTTGATTGCTTAAAAAGTTTTTGTCTTTGTTGTGCACTCAGAAATCTTACTCAAAATTGAAGAACCAAAGAAAAACATTAAAGTTATACAACACTGAAGCACAACTACAAGGTGGCAAAGATGTAGTCATTCAGAAGCAGTGGTTTGCATTACTCAACTACGTGGAATCCTTATGACAGGATATCAAACTTTGTGCCTACTTTGTAGTGAAGTAGCTGCATTTAAGAACATTACAGACAATTGAAACAATGCTCACACATTCACCTGCAAAAATAAACATGTCAGACAAAAATAAAATTAACTTAGAGTTCAGAGCATGAAAAGTGTAAAAATACGTTATATAATCTCTTGTGCTCTGTGCTGCTTGTCTACTAGTTGACAGCATGTCAGATTGTTTGTAAATATTTTCTGGAAAAATGCCACTATTATATGTAACTGCATCACATGGCGGGAATGAAAAGACAAAACGTTAGATTTGAGGATAGAGAGTACTCACTAGCACATAACTTCTGACCTTAAAACAGAACATGGTGCACTGCCAAAGATTTTGTGGTCTATGTCAATTTAGTATCAGGATTTCTCTTGCATGACATTCTCTGAAAACAGTCAAGCTGATGGAGTTCATAAATTTTGCCTTGGGCTGAATTACTTCTCCACTTGAGTGACAATGTTTGGAGCTGCCACATCAACCCCTGTGGTTTACTGTAGCAATACTAACATACAACACTGTACATAATTCTCTTCATTTGCTAGTTGGCATAGTCATATCTGCCAGTGCAGCTGGATTGGACCTCATTTGTTCACAGTTGATTTATTGGTGCAGAAAATAAGTTGTTTTTACCTTTTTCTTTGCTGAGTGATAAAATGAAAAGTAATGAAGGTGAAAAAGGGATTACAATGCCAGCGTAAAGGGTGAAAATGTATGAAACCCTCCAGGCACTGGTGCAGGGCCTTGCATGCAAAGCTATACCCTTTTACTGACAAATCAGCCACAATATGAGTCCCTGCTGTCGGGAGCAGGATCCTGGCATACCCCATGTAATATGGCATCCTGAAACACAGCACCTAATCTTTCAGTGACTAATAGAGACTCATTTTGTACTTGAGATTTCCTTGCAAGAATCTGTAGTAAAGAAAACCTCATTTGGCAGGGGTGCTTATGCTTGTAGATCTATTGCTCATACACCTTATCCTCTTTCGAAAGAGGTAACTGCTTCATTTGGCTCAGTAGTCTCATCAAGTCTGCCCTCCTTCACATACATGGCGGTACAGAGCTACATTTCAATGGCAATGGCATTTATCATTAAAAATGGAGGAAGATATGACTTTTTTTATTGTTCATGGGATGTCATCAGCTAATTGCCTCATTAACAGTCAATCACATTGCTGTGGGTCTGGAGTCACATGTGGGCAAGACCATGTAATGACATCAAATTTCCTTCCTGAAAAAATTAGGTTTTTACATAGTCACCATTAAACTTGTCTTTTATTCCAGAATTTTATTGAATTCAAGTTTTGTCTTGGTGAGATTTGAACTCGTCCCCAGAACATTAGTCTGAATTACTAGTCCAGTGACTTTAACATTATGCCACCACCTCATGATGGTTTTGCAGCTTTGAGATCCCCTCCACCAGGTGCTTGTAGATTTAACATTATAACATGTACTTTTTCTTCTGATATGGGGCTTTTTCAAACTGTCATGGGGGATTCTTAATATTTGTCAATTATCTCTACACAGATCTCTAAGCAAGTCATGAATACACTGTCTGCTAGAGCAAGCAATTTTATCTAATTCCCCATTGACAACCTGTGATAGCATTACAGACCATTGCAATTTTACAGAGTGGCAGGATTCTCAAAGGTGCAAGGAATCATAGGTTTCACCCATCTGGCCAAGTGTGCCCCCGTACTAGCTTCAGGCAGCCAGCTACCTCTGGAGAAACAGACTCAATCTCAAGCTGCAGCTCATTCGTGAACAACAGCAACATCATATTGTGCAAGTGACTGCTTGAGTCTGTAGCAGCTGCTGCAGCACATTTAGTTTAAGTCTGTCTGGTGTGCTTATCTTATGCTGTAAAATGTACATTTTGAGGTGACTTCTGGTTGATTAAGAGTCTTAGGATCATAAGCAAAGAAACAGACCCCCTGGCCCCCCATATCAATGCTGATGAGCCACTAAGGCTCACCTCGACTGCATCTACCACACTCCCAATATAATTCACACCTATGTCTGCATCATATCAACAATAAAAAAATGTACAGAAGAACTTTCCCACTGACAGAAAATAACCTCAAATTGACAATCGGTTGCAAAGGCCTTAAAATGGAAAGAAGACTACCTTTCCCTCTAATTGACCAAACATACCGTGCTCTGTTTACTGCAGGTGTTATCAAATTCCTGGCCTCCTACCCCTAAGGAAGCTCGGAAGTTATGAAGGAATGTAGAAAGCATTGAGATCCAATGATCTAGGCCTACTCTCACTTTCCCTGATGTTTGTGGTTGTGGAACTATGCAAGACAGAAATTCAGGAAATCCAACTGAGTTTAAGCAGTGCCATGAAAAATCTGGAAAAATGGACAATTGGGTTCTATAACATAGAATATAAAACAGTACAGCACATGAACAGGCCCTTCAGCCCACCATGATTGTGCAGACCATGATGCCACTGTAAACTAATCCCATCTGCCTGCCCGTGGTCCATATCCCTCTATACCCTTGTTGTTCATGTGTCTGTCTAAATGCCTCTTAAACTTTGCTATTGTATCTGCTTCTACCACCTCCCCAGCAGTGTGCTTCAGGCACCTACTGTCCTCTGCTTGAAAAACTTGTCTTGCACATCTCCTTCAAACTTTCCTCCTCTCACTTTAAACCTATGCCCCCTAGTATTTCCATTATGGGGAAAAAAAACTCCACTATGCAACCTACTGCCTCTCATAAGTTTATATACTTCTATCAGGTCACCCGACCCTCTGACACTCAAAGTTTGTCCAACCTCTCCTCGTAGCTAATACACTCTAATCCAGGCAAAATGCTGGTCAATCTCTTTTGAACCCTCTCAAAGACTCCACATCCTACAGTGTGGTGACCAGAACTGCACACCATACCCCAAATCTAGCCTAACTGAAGTTTTATATAACTGCAACATGACTTGCCTATGAAACTCAATACCTCACCATGAAAGCAAGCATGCCATATACCTTCTTTACCACCTCATTCACTTGTATTGCCACTTTCAGGAAACTATGAACTTGAACCACAAGATCCCTCTGTAAATCAATGCTATTTTTACTGTATACTTTCCTCTTGCATTTGACCTCCCAAAACGCATTACCTCACACTTGCCTGGATCAAACTCCATCTGCCGTTTCCCTTGCTTTACTTTCAACTGATCTATATCCTGCTGTATCCCTTGACAACTTTCTTCACTATTCCAAACTCCACCAATTTTCATGTAATCTGAGGACTCACTACATTTTCATCCAAATCATTTATATAAACTACAAACAACAGAGGTCCAGCACTGTTTCACATGGAATACCATTGGTCACAGACTGCCAGTTAGAAAAACACTCCAACTCGTCTCTGTCTTCTATGGCCAAACTGATCTTGATTCCAACTTACCAACTCACTTTGTGACTTAATCTTCCAGCGTACCATGAAGGACCTTGTCAAATGCTTTAGTAAAGTCCACATGGATAATATCACTGCTCTATCCTCATCAATCATCTTCATCACTTCCTCAAAAAAGTCAATCAAATTTGTGAGACAAGACTTCCCTTCAAAAGCCATGCTGACTATCCCTAATAAGTCCATTTTTATCCAAATGCGAGTAAATCCTGTCCCCAGGAATATTCTGCAATAATTTCCCTTCCATTGATGTAAGGCTTACTGGCCTATAATTTCCTGGGACATCCCTGTTGCCCTTCTTAAACAAAGGAACAATATTGGCTATTCTCCTGTCTTCTTGGGCTTCACCTTTGGCTAAAGAGGACATGAAGATCTTTGTCAAGACCTCAACAATCTCTTACCTTGCCTTCCCTCTAATAGCCCATCTTTTGATAGGATTGAATTTTTTGTTGTATAGAAGTATGAGATATATATTGGATGATGTTCAACATGGATTCAACCAACACTGAGGTCAGTTTCTTTAAAAACCATTCATTGTCAGGCAGCTTTCATTCATAATCTATTTGCATAATAACCAAATGAACCATTCAACCAGGTTTATTTACAAAATAAAGAATAATACAAGTCATAATTGTCTTCCATCAAGATCTTTTAGGGGAAAGTTTACAATGGTTTCCTATCACTTCTACTTAACACTACTTCCTACCATTTGCAATTACCATCAATGACAACACATATGGAACAATAGGCATTATTATGGTTGATAAAATATTATGCCAATCAAATCCTTATGGATCATCGTATTTTCTTTGTTGATACAAAGAAATTTTTTGGGGTTAAATTATATTTAACAGATCAAGTTTTTTTTTACATCTGGCTTTGTAACACATTTGTAGGAACATGCCATGAACAGTGTGACTCCTGTAAGATTGGAGTTGAGAACATACACATAACCGATAAGTAACTCATTATCAATTTGCTTAAATGTGTCAGTTCTTTTTGTTAATAAAACACTTAGACAATTGATAAGGGACATTAAACATTTCATATTAATCTGAAATGTAATAATGGAGCAGGAGAGGAAGGGAAAGAAAATAAAGAATTCAGTGGTGAGAAATAAAAGCAGAAATTGCTGGAAAAACTCAGCAGGTCTATCGACATCTGTGGAGAGAAAGTGAGTTAATGTTTCAGGTCCAGTGATCCTTCTTCTGAACACTTCTTCAGGTGGTGAGGTTGTGCAGAATCTTAAGGATGGCACAATGTAGAATACTCAACAAATAGCCAGAGGGTGCAACTGGCAGAAAAATAAACTTTAGAGAAGAATTGTGCTGTGGTGCAGGTGAGCAACGTAATAGGAAAGATGTACAAGCTTTACAATTGTCGGAAATTTTTTTGAAAAACCATGGTTACAAAGCTTTCACTCATTCTCATAATGGTTTAAGCGTCAGCTAATGACTCATTTGATATACTGCTTGGCCATGAGTCTAAACATTCTGGGTTCAAGTCCCGCTCCATGATCTGAGCACAAAAATGAACCCAGATCATGCATTGCAGTTGGGCTGTCTGTCTGATGAGGCCTTTCCTATTTTCTCAGGTTGATACCAAAGATTCCTTGATATTTTCCAAATAAGAGCAAGGAAGTTATCTCTGGTACTGAGCAATAATTGTCCCTCAATCAACATCCCAAAAACAGATCATCATGGTTTGTTTAGGAAACTTGCTGCATACAAGTTGGCTGCTGTATTTCCTACAATATTGACTCCACTTCAAAGGTACTTTGTTAGTAGGAAAATGCTTTGGCAGTTCTTAAAGTTGCACAAACAACTACATGGATGCATTCTTTTTCTATTTCTAAAAAAGTACAGTCACAGGATGATGCAATAGAAATGATGACAATTAAGGTTATGATAACAAAAATGGGACCAA